TACGTATGTTTTCCACAAACTTTGCATCAGGAAAATTTCTCATAATTTTTACCAGTGTAACATATTTTTTTCCTTTTAACTATTTTGTGGCTGAATAATGAAGACTATGTGTTTTAAATCATAAGAGAGCTTTTATAATATGCATAAGCTTTAAGATTTTATGTCATAATTATCCCCCTCTCTTTTTCTCAGTTCCTCTCCTTATCCTCAACTGTACCAACCCAGTATCAACAGCCTCTTGTGCTAATTTTTTAAAGTATGTCTGTTTAATTGTGAGCATAAAAATAAATTCATATTTTTTTTTATTTTCCAAATAAATAAAGTTTTAAAGTGACGTGACAGTAAGATTAAATGATCAACACTGAATTCTCAGGGGTCGGGGTCAGGGAATTCTAACTACATTGATTCCATTAATTTTCTTAAAGTATTAAGACTCTTGCACATAATCTTCTTTTACAGGGAGAAGATTCCTATACACATCCCACAGGTACATTTAGTGGCTTTCTCCTGTGTATTGCCTTAGCACGTTATACACATACCTTATCGAGTCTTACTGTACCATAGTTATTTATTTACCTATCTCTCTCACTAGATAGAATCCTTTTGGGTTGGGACGACATCTTATTCATGTTTGCATTCCCAAATCACAGTGCCTAACACATATTCACCATTCAGTTAATGACTATCAAATATGCCTTCATTCACTGAGTAATTTTTATACTCAAGGAACCTAGGAGTGAATGGGAAAATTACCACAGATACCCTTTAAAAAAGCATACTGCATATTGCATTTTAAAAATGTTTCATACATTGATTTACTTACAGCCTCTTAGTAATGCATCCACTTGTATACATCATTAACTTGGATGATTCTGAGTCATTATAATTAAAGGCCTTTGAGGTTCAAATTTATTAAGAAATGTTGAGATGTATGGAAAGATATATAGAGTTCCATAATAAACATTCATGCGGCTGCTATTCAGTTTAAGGACTAAAACGTTACCAATGACCAGTACTGCTAAAAGTCACTGTATGTCTCTCACCAATTTCATCCCACTTCCATCCCCACCTTGGATTTGGTGATGTTGCTCATTCCAGCACATTCCCTTACACTTATACTACCTGTACTTGTGATTCTGGACACTTACATAGCATTGTATGCCATATTTTCAAATTCTTGTATGGATAATATCACACTGTGGTATTCATTGGTAACTTTTTCCCCTCAACGTTATATTTGTTAGATTCAGCCATGTTGATAACTATGTTTTCACTTCGTCATGGCTCTATTACACCGAATAAAATATAAATAGCATACTCCAGGTGATGGTCATTTACGATATTTTCAGTGGTTTTAATATTACAAATAAAGTTAAAACGATGCTTTAAAAAGTCCTTGCTAATAATCCAACCAATAGTGTAAATTTGGAGATTTAAACTATTTAGGGAAAAGATTCTGCTTCTGTTTTATGTCTTTACATTTTTTGGCCTAATGTTTGGGATCTAACAATAAATGTGCTAATTAGATTTCTATTTGCTGAATTACTTTGGTTATTTTTTTCATGGCTGATCTTGCTTCTAAAGAAAATTTGAAGCAACTTACAGTTAAACAGAAAACACTTAAACCAAAATAAAGACAAGTACCATGTTACTCCAGAAAAACTAGACTAAGATCTGCATCATCTAAGTCTAAGGATATCTAAACCTCCCCGCCCAATATTACTATCCCCATGTTATTACCATATATAAAAATATTACTACATATTAAAAAATGACCTTTCGGATGTTGAAAATTAATTTTTAATTTAATTTTGACCTAAATTAAGAAGATAAATTGCCAGAATACATACCAAACTGACATTTTATTTTTTTTATTTTTTTTCCACGGGCACTAATTTTTTTTTTTGATGAATAAAAATTGTGTACATCTAAGGTATATAGCATGATACTTTGTTATGTGTATACATTATAAAATGATGACTGTAATCAAACTAGTTAACATAACCATCACCTCCTATAGGTAACTTTATGTGTGTCATGATAATACTTAATCTATTCTTATATACTTAATCTATTCTCATAGCAGATTTCAAATATACATTATTAACTATAGTCACCATATATTAAGTCTACAGAACTTATTCATCTTATAACTGAAAGTTTGTACCCTATGATCTATATCTTCCCTTTTCCTCCAACCCGCAGCCTCTGGTAACCATCATTCTACTTTTTGTTACTGAACTACTGTTACTGTTGACTGTTTTTTTTTAGGTTCCACCTATAAGTGAAATCATGTGATATTTGTGTTTTGGTGTGTGGTTCATTTCATTTAGCACAGTGTCCTCCAGGTTCACTCATTTGTCACAAATAGCAGGATTTCCTTCTTTTTTAGCCTGAATAATATCTCATTGTATATTTTTGCCATATTTTTAAATTCATTCATTTGTTGATGGACATGTAGATTGTTTGCTTATCTTGGCTATTGTGAAACAATGCTGTAATGAACATGAGAGCGCAGATATCTCTTTAAGATCCTGATTTTATTTCCTTTGACTCTATACCCAGAAGTGGAATTGCTGGATCATCTGGTAGTTTTACTTTTAATTTTTTGAAGAAACTCCATACCATCTTCTGAAATGGTTCTACCAATTTACATTACACTCCCACCAAAAGTGTACAAGGACTCGCTTTCCTCCACATCTTTGCCAACACTTATCTTTTGACTTTCTAGTAATAGCCATCTTAACAGTTGTGAGGAGATAATGCTCATTGTGGTTTTGATTTACATTTCTCTGATGATGAAGGATATTGAGCACCTTTTCATATACCTGTTGGCCCTTTGTATGTCTTCTTTGGAAGTATTTTTATTCAGTTCCTTTGCCCATTTTTAAAGTGTATCTGGTGTTTTGTTTTGCTGTTGTGTTATGAGTTCTTTATATATTTTGGACATTAATGAAGAGATTAACCATGTATCTGAGAAGAGACATTCATTTTAAATTTTGAAAAATGTATTTTGAATAATAGGCAATAAATCTCGGAACTTCACACCATTGCACTTTGAAAACAAGATGTATAGACAGTGGTGAATGGCAGAATTACAAGATATTTAGCCAACTAAAAACAAAATTAGGTGCAGATAATGAGTTCTGACATTTTAAAATTTGTGACAAAATACTTTTAAAAGGTAGCTCAACTGTCTTAGTTTCTATCAATGAGGGAGGTCCTCTGACATGGACCTGCTCTATCCCTTTATCAGTGTTTGGACAAATTGCTAAAATATCTAGCCCTCTATAGGCTTTACTGTATTTATAAATTGTAGTTCTTGGCCTCTACCCAGATTCAGATGTTAGAGATTAGCCCAAAAGCCGAGTCCTAATTGAAACAGATTTAGGTAGACTAACCACTGAGCCTTTCCAATTCGCATTGCTATAATCTCTTTAGATTTCATTGAATGAAACACATGAGGATGCTATAATAAAGACCTTTGATAAAGGGATGCTAAAGTCAAGGTGAATGTTTAGGGCATCATGTTTCTCAGTCTGTAGAAGTGCTTTCCTAAGTTGAGAAAATATATTCCAGTCTCTGTCAGACTTAGAATTGACATTCCTGAATAAGACTTTCATGAGGAAATTGAGTGGCCTGTGACCAAAGGAGGTATTGTTTTTCTTATAAGTTCTTTGTTTTCATGAAAAGGCTCTCTGGATCTCAGAATGTATTTGTTTCAAGGTAATTCAGTTTGAATTCACTCATGCCCAGGAGTCTCCTGAAAGGCCTTCCTTAAAGTTTTACAGTGTATGTTATATAGATAACATAGCCCTGATGAATTTGGGAAAGTTTCATATGCCATCAATTTTAATAATCAGAGCTGTTTCCAAAGCCTACATTGTTTTATCATATGGGATCTATAATTAATAACAATGCTATTTTTAAAATAGGAAAATTTTAATAACAAATCTTTCTTAATACTATTAAGAGGCAAATGCATAGCTGTGAGTTTGGGGTTTAGGAGATTCAGCTTCAAATGAATTTTCCTTTTCATAAGCTTTCTTGCAGTTTAGATATGCTGCCATCAGGTGGTAGTAATATGTCATATCCATGTGGCTCCATCTTTATCCCACAAAGATTTATATCATGAATGGACAGATTTTTATATGAAAAGTAAAATAACATGGTATTCTACTTCATATCAGAGTTAAGGATACTTTGAATGAACCTTTGAAAGCAGACATATATTGGAAGATTCAATTGGACATATTTTCTCATTTCCTCATATTTATTTATTTAGTAAATAAAGAATTTTATGTCTTCCAAAAGTTTTGATAATATGGAAAAATAAAGTTAAAAGCCCCAAATTTTATCATTCAAAGACCTTATGTTTTTGTTTCCTTCCAGTCTTTTTTTATATGCAATTTTTAGCATCGTTTCATTTTTTAGAGTAGAGTTTGATGGCAGGAAAAGGTACTTATCTATAGTAACAGTGAATATACAGCATATATCTTTTCCAACTTTTAAAATTATAAGCTCATTTTACCTGCTTTGTCACTTCTTAATATTCCGTTTATTGAAGTTTCCCATAATTTTATATAGTCATTTGTCTATTTGTAGATAATGTACATTTCTGGTCTTCAGCCATCAAAAGTATTTTATCTCTGTCTTCCATCCACTGCCTATCAAGAGGACTATTATTTCATTGCACCTATACTTGATTTTTGTTTTAACACAAAATAATTTATATATAATTTATCTCTGAGCAACTGTATTTCTTATATTTCCTCAACTGCATTTGAAATGAAACTTTGAGAAAATTTTACCTTTCAGTTTCAATTACGAATGAGAACATAGTATCCCTTTGTTATTATTTTCATATCATATGAATGTTTTATAATTTCGTAAATTATATGCACCTAGGTACCACATAGAAGCATTTCAGGGCCTGTGATATTATGAGATGGAGCTAACTACTTCCTAGCAAAATAATTTTTTCTTTTCTTTTTTTATAGCTTAGAACATTGCATTAAAGAAATACAGTCTGAAGTTAACAAACAATGTCCAGATGTGCGGCTACAGACAATAACTGACTGTTTTGAATGGTTAAATAACTATGATTCATCCAAGTCACCTTCTATTCCACATGGAGATTTGATAAACTTTCTCAAAATACTGGTAAAAAAAAACCCTTCACTTTGTAGTGGAATGGGATGGGTGAACAAGGAATACAGTTCACTCAGTTTCTATTTGTGATTATTTTAGTGACCATATTAGCCTGCCATATCATGGGGTTAGGGTTTGTGTTTTGTTTTGTTTCTGTATCCCCACTGGAATCCAGTGAGCTATTTGATTCTATTTTTTCTATGATGTTTATCAATAAAATGAAGTTTTATATAAATTGAGATTAAACATAACTCCTGAGTGACTTGTGATTTAATGTACGTCACAAAGTGTGTATGTACCACAGTTATCTACTGGAAAAGTTTATGTTTATTACATTTTGTGTTCCTTCACAGCTAGTCATTTTCTCTCTATACTCATTATTAAGCATAATAAGATCATCATTGATTTTATCTACTAAGTAGCCTTGTCTATCATTACCTTTATCCCCAACCTGCAGGCATGTCCAGTTCTTTTCAAGCAAGGCAGCAATTTATATGAGACTACTTTTTAATTGGTGGGAAATTATTATATTGGTTATTTCTTGATTCTGACCACCCTCTATGTTAAATAAATTTTTGTTTATTTTATTACTCTATCTGCAAGTGTGGTTAGCTTGCAAAAACAGTTTCCCAGAGCAACAACACAAATGTTACAAAGCAGCATGTCTGTAGCTATGGTTTTGATTTAATTTAGAGAAAAGGGGGACACCATTTTTGTCTAAACATCAAACATTGACTAAGGCAGATGTGGAAAATACCTTGAGGTTGTAGATGGCTCAGGAGGACAGAATCAGATGAAAATAGTTTTTGGCTGTTATTGCAGATGTCTCTTTAATGTTTACAAAGTAATAAAAGGAAAAGAAAGGAAGACTGTGTGCCCTGAAGCCTTATTCTTTTAAGAAAATCCTCTCACCCATTATCTCTTGAAGGTGGAGCCTTGAAGAATAAATATGGATATAGTTATTCCTTTAATTTCTATTAAGAGCCATGTGTATTGAATTTCATTAATATTGATTTAATAATGCTTTCTCATTTAATTAAAAGCAAAAGCTTTTAATTATCTTTTAATTTGTCACACATAAGTCATTCTCTATTCACTGCAGGGCAAAGGCCGCCTTAGTTTTGCTCAAATTCATTAGAATGAGAGGCTTGTTTGAGACCTAGGGATTTATTTTTACATAATTGATCATGTAATTTTGAGGAAAGACCACATTATTGAAACAGATCCAGTTTAAAATGACCTTCTTATCAAGTTTTTACATGATAAAATTGTCAATCCCAACAGGATTTTTCATGGAACTATTTTTCCATAGAAAATTTTCTATTTATTAATTATCTAGCTGTTTAAATAAGAAACAGGTCCTCATTATGGCTATTATCCTGAAGTTGTTTTTAAAATTTAAGCAGACTAAACACATATTTTAAACCTCTGTAATCTATTATACTTTGATCAAATATTTATAGTTATTGACTGACTTAAGATACCCAAGGTTGTGGCACTAATATGACTCACTTGCTTTATATGATTTACTATAATACTGATGTCCTGGACTCTATAGGACAATTCTTTTCTGGAAAACATCAAAAGAACTAAATACATGGCAAAGAGAGAGAAGCTTCAGAAAGACCAATGTACTTTGTGGCTCTGTAGAATGCAGTAAACTGAACAAGGATGAGGAAAAGGAAGCTGTGGGTCCATGCTGAATTCTACACTTTATTGTCTGTGACAAGTGGAAAGTAACTTAAATGTGCTATTTAGTGTTCTTACATGTAGATTGGGTTTTTAAATATCTATGTCACAGAGTTTTCAGAATGAATAAGCCAGAAACTCTATGGAATATAAAGTACTTTTTCTATAATAAAATACTGTATAGATATTGGGTATTTTTTTTTATCACAGGGAGAATATTAAACTAGACATTAAAATGCTTAGAATGACCTAAAGCAAATTCCTGGATTTGTCTAGGAATTGTTCCTAATTCTGAATTACACATAATACATGTGGTATTTTTGTTGGAAAAAAATTTCAATGCCAGCTTTATTTTATGCCACTTCAACCTTACTTCCATTTTTCTTATAATCAGCTTCTTGCTACCTAGAGAGTATAAACTAAATTTCAGTATTAGCTGAAACAGACATAATTAGGAAAGTCAGCATGTAAAAGGAATGTGTACAAAATCCAAAAAGAAAGTAATTTTTTGTTCCTTCGGTATTCATAATTACACCTACCATTGTTCTGTCAGCATGGAAAGTATACAGGAATACTTTCATATCATCTTTTGGGGAATGATTCTGAGAGTATTGTTTCCCCATTTTGAGTTAGTTATTTCTTTGGAGAGAACTGAAATATTCTCAGATTAATTTCCAAAGTAAAATCTTTATTAACATGGCTCCCAAAAAGGAATTTAAATGAAAGGTAAAGTCTTTAAAATCTAAAGTTAAATTTTATTTCTCAGGATGACAGCTATTAATAACCCCTAGGAACATAATATATTTAAAGGTCTCCGTTTTGTATGTTCATTTGGGGTTCTATAATAATAAGTACACTCATACAGGCATGAAAATTACCTACTAGGAACTAATTAGGATATGATCCTGAATTTATCTTGTCTTAGGAATACATTTCAATTGATGTTTTACTATAGGTTTTTATTTAGAATGTTTAATCTGCAGTTTTTATAATGCTTAGGTTATATCAAGGGCTGGATAATGAGGGCTAAAATCTGTATGTTTAGAAATGTAATTGAAAAATATAGTTTATGCAAGCTAACATTCTAAAACATCTTAATTATATTATAAATACAAAAAAATCTGGAAGAGAATCAGAGTATTCTAATTTGAAATGAATTGTTACTAAATTTTATATGACTGTAGAAATAATATTTTGCTGTTACCCCTATAGTTAATCACACTTCTAACATTATAATTTACTTTTCTTAGCAAGATTTGTTGAAGAATGAACAAAATCAAGAAGAAGTGATACTGGATTTACTTTGGGACCTTTCCTGCCAGAGCAGCATTTCATTTCCTTCAACTCTGAGTGAAACATCTTTCCACTTCCTCTCTAGGACTTCTCTTCATTCTGTTGAAGATCATTCCTCTATGGATGTAAAATCTATATGGGATGATATAAGACTACATCTTCGACGCTTCTTAGTGAGCAAATTACAAAGCCATAATGAAATAAACAATTTGCAGCAAAAAATATTGTTGAAAAATGAGTGCATACAGCAATTCTTGTTTCTTTATCCAGAATCAGAAGTTATAATCAAGTATCAAAATATACAGAATAAACTGTTGGCTAAACTTCTGCAGAACTGCTTTCCTTCTTACAGCAGAGAATCGAATTTAGACATAATGGTTCATGGATACCAAAGTGCAATGCTTAAGTTATACTCAGTGATAAAAGAGGATTTTAACACACTGTATGAAATTTTAGCTCCATCCTCAACAGTGAAATTCATTAAAGAAACGTACCTGGATACTATTACAGAAGAAATGGCAAAATTTCTTGCAAATTTTTGTGAGCTGCAGTTCAAAGAAAGTGCTGTTCGCGTGATTAAAACAAGCAAGCGCTCCAGCAGGCATAGAGGAGCAGTGCATGCTTTGGGTTAGTGATTTTTACAATTTCTGTTTGGTTTAACTTAAGCCTTTCAATAGCCTTAATTTTCTGACATTTTTCTATTTGGTTAAACCTAACTGCAAACTTGAAAATAAATAGGAAAATAAATGTTATAAAATTTTGCAGAACACCTTTCTCATATACATTCCTTTTTCTGTAAGTATAGTAATAGAAGTGTTTTCTTTCCTGTTATTTAAATTATTAAAGATAATGGAAATATAAGTAAAAAATATTGCCAATGAGAGTTTTGGGTTTTTGGATTGTATAAATTATTTGGTGAAACTGTATGTGTGTGTATGTATATACATATACAATAAACACATGCATATATTCAGGTATATTTACATATATATAAAATGAAAAAGTATAATTTTTAACCCATTGTATCTTCCAAAGCTGAAGTATTATTATATAAAAAGAATTGTTGAAATTTACATTAACTAAAATTGAGAGTTTATATTTCAGTCAGCTAATTTCAATAAAGAGCTATTATGAAATACTAATTATAAATCTCTATACTATAATCGATTATAGAGGCATAGCATTTTAACTATAGCTAGTTTTAAAAGTTCCTCTAATGTTATTTCTTTAAGACTATATATAAGTAAAAGATGATTTGAAAATCCCTGATTTTTTTTTAAATTTAATTTTATTTTTTCAAATACATTTGTCTCTGCCTCCCCCCCCCACCACTTTCCCTTTCCCCCTCCCTCCTTCCCTCCCTCAGCTCTTCCCCTTTGGTTTTGTCCATGAGTCCTTGCTATATGTTCCTTGACTTTCCCCTTCCCTTCCTTTTATTCAAAAGATAAAAGAAAAGAAAGAAACTATTATGAGGTAATAAACTATTTCTTATCATCATTTAAATTTTTCACCAGTGGAGAAAAATCAAGGCAAAAAAAATAACCATATTGATAATTATGATTAGTCATGCTTTTATGTAAAAGTCAGGTATATTTCTAAATAGGTTCATAAACTATTTTTTAAGTATTTGAAAATTATCATTTGGTAAATTGGTATCTTTGATTTCATGATCACTTTATGAAAATTTACATACATCACTATATTTGTTTACCTTCCATAGTAAAATGCAAGAATGCCTAATTATTCTAATATATGAGTTTTAAAATAATTTAATGTTTTAAAAGGTTTATTTTCCTTCAGAAGCCATATCACATTACAGAACAGCTGCATCAGCAAATTTTAGGTGATGGCAGAACACAAAGTCGGTTAATTTAGGAACAGTACCATTTTGTTCAAAGCAAATAGATTTTCATTTTGATTGTTAACACAAATTTTAAATGCATTCCATGAGTGTACTTATTTTCTAAAATGTTTATATCCTCTAAAAGAAATCTGCTTACTTATAAAGTGTTTTCAATGTGAAAGTTTTATATGTGCTAAATACAAGCTTTTATAGTAGAAGAGAAGATCTGTATGGTTGAAAAATATAAGCTGCTATGGAGTCATTAAGGCTGATATTGAGGTGTTCTCCCATTAGTGAGAGAAAACTGTGTGTGTTGGTCAGCTTTAATACTAAAAACTGATACATTTTCCACAAGTCCAGGTGCACTGATCTTTCTCAAGCTCCTTTTTCTGAACTTTGGTATAAATCACTTGTTATATGAATGACTTCCATATGTCGGGCACTGTGCTAAATACATCACATTCCTTATTATTCTAAATTCATAAACAAAGAAAGACACTTAGATTAACTTGCCCAGGATCGCACTGTACAGAGGCAGGATTAATAGGGAGGTCTTTATGTCTCTCATACCCATGATCTTAACCACTATGCTATTGGACCTTTTCTGAAAAGTGTATAATTAAATACTTGTCGTTTGTAAAAGAAATTTTAAACAGTACTTTTTGGGTGGGCTACCTGAAAATCCATTCAGTTAAGCTCTTCGAGGTACCTACTATATGCAAGTTATTTAGCAGCTACCATGTTTAAGGGTGGGAGCTAGACGTGTTAAGAGAAAGAAAACTAAATGAGTCATTGTTGCTAATGCTGTATATACAGCTAAACTAGCTCCAAATTGATCAACATTACTAATATTTGACCCAATGACCAAATTTTATTTATTAAGAAAATACAGTTAATGTGAACAAAATGATAAGAATTCATTCATATTTATTAATAAAATTACAATAATTTATATTCATATTTGAATAAAATCTGTATTGGTTTGAACAGTGTGTTATATTATCTTTAGTATATGTTTATGTCTTTATGGTCACCAAGTCTTAGATATTTTGTCTGAAACTATAGAAAGACATTCCTTAAGTTATAAGAGCTAACATTTATTGGATCAGACATTGATGTACATTATCTCATTTAACCCTTTATTACTTCATGTAATCTACCTGACAAAGTGGGTACATTTTTTATTATCTTTATTGTATAGTGAGGAAACTAAGGCATAGAGATATTAAGTAATTTACTCAGGATTCAGACTCAGGTCTGCCTGCCTGCCGAGCCCTTACTTTATGACAGTGTTCTACTGCCTAAAAGAACAGGATGGAAATAGCATATTCCATTAACAACACCTCCCAGTATGCTAACTCTGCTTTAGTGTTGTCATTGTTTTATTTTTCTCTCAACTACCCTATACTCTCTTCATTTGAAGACTACATAATGCCAATTTGAAAGATTTTGTTTATAATTCCTATTTTGTGATCTATTGCTGTGTCTTAAACAGGCCTTGTATGTATGCTAGCCTTTTTTGTTTCGAGGTTTATTGAGATATAATTAACGCCTAACATTCTCTAAGTTTGAGGTGTACAGTGTATTGATTTGGTACACTTATATATTGGGAAATGGTTACCCTTGTAGCATTATCTAATACCTCCATCACATCATATACCTAGCATTATTTTTTAGTGGCGAGGAGAACATTTAAGATTTACTGTCCTAACAACTTTGAAGCATTATAATATACCAATACTAACTATACTCATAATTCAGTACATCTGATTTCCAGAACTACTCATCTTCTGACACCGTATAGCCTTCAACCAAGATTTCTTTTTTTTCCCCATCCCCTGGTAGCCACTCTAATACCCTGTTTCTACAAGTTCAATTTGTTTGTTTTTTATTTCACATATAAGTGATATCATACAATGTTAATCTTTCTCTGACTTACTTCACTTAGCATAATGCTCTCAAGTTCCATCGATGTTGTTACAAATGGCAGGATTTCCTTCTCACGGCTGAGTAATATTCATGTGTGTGTGTAAGTGTGTCTTTCACACATCTTTATTCATTCATCTGTAGACAGACCCTTAGGTTGTCTCTATATTTTGGCATACACAACCTTTGTTATGTTGAGGTATATTTCTTTATATTCATTTTGTTGAGAATTTTTTCATGAAAGAATATTGAAATTTGTCAAATACTTTTTATACATCTATAGAGATGATCATATGATTTTTATCTTCCATTCTGTTAATGTGTTATATCACATTTATTGATTTGCATTTGTAGCACCATCCCTGCACAGGGATAAATTATTCTTGATCATGGTGTATGTATGATCCTCTTAATGTGCTGTTGAAATCAGTTTGTTAATATTTTGTTGAGAATTTTTCATCTGTGTTCATCAGGGATATTGGTCTGTAGTGTTTTTTTAAATTTAGTGTCCTTATTTGGCTCTAGTATCAGGGTAATGCTAGGTTCTTAAAATGAGTTTGGGATGTTTCCTCTTCAATTTTTTGAAAGAACTTTTATACTAATCTTAATGAGCTATTGTCCTATCTGTTTATGTATGTATCTACCATGTTCTCAATTAGCTAGACAACTTGGGCATACTGAATTTTTAATTGACTCTTATTTTTCTAGTAAATTGAGAATTGATTGTTCTTCCCTGAATGATCTACAAATTATCTACACAGAAGTGTAAACATATGCATGTTTATATTTATAGTTATAAAATATGCATAAAGAGAATATTATTTGAGCATAAAAAATAACAATTACTACTCATTATTTTGTATAAGGCTTTACATGTGAGTTCATTTAATCTTCTAAACAGCCCTTCATATTATTCATATTTTAAATATGAGAAGACAAGGCTCATAAGGGTAATTATTTTCCAAGGCTGACTGCTAATAATACACAGAAAGAGGGTTTCTCTGTTTGCAGTTGTTTAGTATATTATTTGATATGCTGCTAAACTCCATGGCAAAAACTGTGCAAGGCACTGTGATAATTATCAAAAAATTTTTTTCACATTTTCTTTTTTAATTTTAACATTTCCGTCTTCTACCCCCATTCAGTGTTTTTGCTTTTCTTTTTTATTGACAATGATTCATAACTGACTCTTGATTTGCTTGTGTTTATTAACTCAGAAACTGACTAGATGCAGCTTTTATACTATTTTAATTTATTATACCAGCTTTCCTTTCTGGTAGTGGTGTTCACCTGAGCACCCAGAGTGAGTTTCACCTGTAACCACGTAGCTGGGTATTGATTCAGGCTCTCTGTACGTGTACTTAAAATATGGTGACAGCCTCTCTAACCATTTTCTTGTGGTAAAGTACCGGACAATTTTATTTACATATAAGCTTATCCCCTGATTTAAATGATACATTTTGGCATTGTATAGTAACCTTTTTCCCCTTTTACATTCATATGTATTTGAATGTTTTGTTTTTGTGGGGAGTGAGTGCTATTTTAGTATTATATTACATTTAGAAGTATATAGCTTGTGTATTGTATTATTTTAGGAAAACGATGAAATAGTGGTAATAAAAATTAAATTACCACTCTTTAGTAATATAGATTATGATTTGGTGATCTATCCTAGAAAAAAATTATTTTTACATACATTCTTTTTACAAAGCTTCAACGATGACTTAAGAACCAAGGTGTTCTCAATAACTCTGTTGTTTTAAATCCATATTCTTACAGTTTTTCTAATAACTGTTCAGGAAAATTATCATTTTATTAAGGTTTATGCCCAATTTTTTTTTATAAATTTAGTTTATAA